GCTAAGCGTTCCGTAGTGGGATGGGCAATAATACAAGGCCTAGGAACGCGCGCTTCAGTAGGTACCGGGTATTTATAACTGTATATTTCTTACTTTCGTCAAATTCGAATTGGGCGTATGCTTGCGACAGATCTATTTTACTAAAGTATTCCCCTCCTCTTAAACGGAGCAACAATTCTTCAATCCTAGATAAGGGATAACGGTCAACTTCTATAACCTTGTTTAAGGTTAATTTATAATCTGCTGTGACGTTGGGAGTCTATATAAATAATACTCAGTTGAATGTGAATGCAAGACTGACTATAATTCGAATCAATACATTGTTTTATAGTTTCTCTTATATCTATCTTATATCTACTACATCACACCTCCGGGGGAGGGCTAAAAAAAAAAATCACTACAATAAATTTATGAAGTAAACATAATATATGTGTACCTTGAGTACATACATGTTCCTTTATATGAATTGTATAAACAATATAATAAAACTAAAAGTAATTAACAAAAAAAAATGTAATAATATAAGATTAAAGAGTGTATAAAATGATTTTAATTACGCAATTTATTAGTAAACACAAATTCATACATTGGTATTGTTATTTATTTATAAACAGTTTCGTTCGGTTCTTGTGAACAATAGCTAATTTTCCATTTTTAATAATTTCCACATTTGGTGTCAAGTCACGAACTACAAGATAAGGGCCTAAATAGATAGCATCAAGCTTATTGCCGGTTTCATTTTTCAATAATATTAAATCGTTTGGTTTGTATGTAACGGGATTAATGCTAGAGTCATGTTTTATTTTTCTAATCTATTTGCTTTGTATTAAATTTTGACGGGCTTCTCGTAATGAAGTTTGCATTCTGTATTTTAACTCTGTGGGATAGTGTTCATAATTATAAATAGGATCTACAGTTAAATTATTTAAGTTCGAAGGTAAAATGCATCTCTTACCGAAAACCAATTCAAACGGTGTAAAACGAGTTTGAGAATGAACTGAGGTGTTTATATGAAAAAACACCAGAAAGGTAACCACCTGCTCCATGTATCTGGGTGATTATCCGTTTGAATTCTAAGATACATACCTAAGTTTTTGTGAGTATTTTCCAACGCACCTATAGTCTGGTAGTGATACGCTGTTGATTGAAGATGTTTAATACGTAAAATTTGACAAACCTCTTTAAACAATTCGGATGTGAACTCAGCACCTCTGTCAGTCGCTATTTCCATCGGTATGCCGTACCTAAGAATGAAATTATTCACAAAAACTCTGGCAATTTCTGATGAAGTTTTGGTAATCATAGGATATACTTCTACATACTTAGTCAATTCGCATTGCAAACTTAGTATATACACGTAATTGTCATCGTCTCTCGTTAAGGGTCCTATAATGTCCAAAAATATCTTTTCGAATGCTGACCCAGCGGTCGTTGTGACAGTCATAGGTTAGACGTTAAGTACTTTCTGTTTCTAACCCATTACTAAACAACCTATTGACTGTATATGTCTGAAAATAAAATTATTATTATTATTATTATTATAGGTTCTTTTGTTTTTATTGAGTATTTTTGTTTTTGACACTGTTCACATTTTCCTACAAACGTTTTTATATCATTCTCAAGACCTGACCAGTAATAATATTTTTTTATATTGTTATACATCCGCCTTATGCGTGGCCTACGGCGTGGCCACTTGTGGGCAAAAGGTGGAAATCATTGAGTACTACCTTTCTATCATCTACATTGTCAATTCTTTTGACATTTTTTAAAATTATTAAACGGGGTCCGGACCACCTATTATTATTATTTATTTCATTTGTCAATTTCTTTACAAATATATCATTATTATTATTTTTCATAAAATATATTTCTTCCATATTCAAAAGTTTACAAAACTCTCAAAGCTCTCTCACAAAAGCGCCTGGCGTGAGTTGCGATTGAGAAGCTGGGTTAATTAATATCTCTTTTTTCCTAGGAATATATAAGAATATTTTACTTTCCTTCTCTATTTTTTCCGTAATTCTTAACTTATCTAGTTCATTTCTACTTACAAATATCATTTCAACGGATTCTCTCGGTTTGACATACGTTTCCACGACTTTTGGTTGATCGGGCCAAGTGTCAGAGATACGCATGTCCACCGAAGGATTCGTTTCTAATCGTCTTTTTTGAAGTCTAGTCATGGACACATAAAACTCTTTCTTTCATCTCTTTCAACTCTTTCAGAATTTCTCTCACATTTTTTAAACGCACATATTGAAATTTTCCACGCTATGTATAATCGGTACAATATCTTTTAAAGTTAAGTCTTTTTCCGTACTATTTAATATCTTAACAGGGATTTTCCCATCACGCGGCGTCACTATTGAATTCGCTAAAAAAAACTCCATCACGCAACTCTTTTGAATAAACTACACCGTTCTCCTTTAAATTTAGTATTGATAAAATGAATAGATTCTGATCTCGACGGAATGAATAAACAATCATCATAATTATGTCGCAAAGTCGAAAGATATATCTTTCATTATTTATGTTTAATAATGATAACGAACTCGTCTCGTAATTCATTATAGCAGAGTAGTTATTTAAAAAGTCACTACCAATAATACCACTTGCCTTACAAGGTAAGGTATGGAATACATAGAACTTGTGACTAAATGTATTGCCTTTCGCTTGTAAATCTAAACAAACGTGTCCAATAGCTTCTATATTACCGCCAATACCTCTAATAACAGTCTTCTCTATATGGAAAGGAATGTTGTGTGCATGAATATGTTTATGTTCTATGGCTGAAATTGATGCGCCCGTATCAAGTAACCAATCCAGAGTACATGCACCGCTAATGTTGAATTTAATTGAAAGTGAATTATGATCACAAGTAAAAAGAAAATCTTTAGGTACGAAAAAACTTGTTTTCGTTTACCACGTTTATCTACTGTTTGGGATTGGTCGTTGACTTTTTTGTCAAACATTCAAATGTTGGGAATGCATCCTTGATTGCCAAAATTGCTATTACGATAGTATTTACCTCTAAATGAAGGCCTCGACCTCGAATCACCTCGGGGTCCACGATGTCCTTGACTCCATTCACGAGCAGAAAAAGCTGCATGAGCACCATGCGAGTAATAACTCGAGTTACCTCTTTGATTTTGGCGTACTTCTACCGCGATAGTTCTGGTTGAAGTTAAAACGCCCACGACCTTGTCTGTAATTAAAATTATTATTACGACTCATTGACAAAATACCGTCTGACGTGGAAGGTGTAGCCACCTCCTCGTCTATGGCGGCCTGTATGGCGTCCTTCAAGGACTCAAAATTGCGAGCTGCAATGATAGTGCTAATCCTTCGATTACGTAAGCTATCCGCAAAGCGCTTTATAGCTTGCTGCTCGTTTACAGACTTCAGAACACTATAGTTATTGTCGTTTCCATTAGCTTGCGTAATTGTACTCGTAAGATCAACGAATAATTCGGTCATTTTTTGGCCATAATCGTTGATAGACAAATCGTTTTGTCTAAAAGATTGTAACTTTGCTTGCATGGCGGAAGCGGATTTTTTAGGTAATAAATGCTTTCGCATATCTTGTAATAATTCATCTATTGTGGGATAGGTGCGACACAAACATAATTTTGCTGAGTGATTTAACCGATTTTTAATACAAAGTTAATAAGATCAATTCGTGACTCATTTGTAAGAGTAGTGCTATAATACTCGATGCCATCGATCAATTTCTCAGTAGTAGGCAATAGGCTTAACGCAATCTTCAAGTTAAATTCCATGGTTACAGTTTTGATAATAGGGCACTCACTACAAAGTTCTATTATTTTAGAATATATGTTTTTAAACTTTGAACAATATTCATTTATTAAGAGACGCTTCGTCTTTTGAAAGTCTGCCTAATTAATAGATTCATTAATATTTTTGAGGCTTTCACGATACTTAGTATTGTATTAAATGGCATCCCAAGCTTTTCTTACGAGTACTATCAACTTTTCTAGAGATTGCTCTGATTTTCACCAAGTATGTTTTCATATTTAATAATTATCAAAGCAACTCTTTTAATAAATCGGCCATAACATAGTAATCATATGCATAACAATAGAAGAAATTAGCTATTAAATTATAAAAAAGATTACACATTTTTTTTTTTACTTGCGGTTATCTAGGTAAGCAATAATTATGCTCTAAAAAAATAGAAGTAAATTAGATTAAAAACGTGCCTCGTGTCTGCTTTTACCCGATTTAGTAACTATTGTCACTTCCGCACATTTACTAACACACACAATTTTTTTTTTTTTAAGGCACTTCATTTGCACCGCACTTTTCCGTTTTTTTAATTATTATTACTTTTTTATTTTTATGCACTTCGACACTTTTTCTTACCGCCACATTTGTATTAATCGACGTAATTTCGACTAATGCCTTACAATGCCCGCATTATGCGGTTACTTCTTTAAAACCCCTGCGAGCCTCTCGCCGGAATAGGACAGCTGTCTTTTGCAACGACTATGGTCTATTTCTTGCCGTATCAGTCCTAAATGGCATTTTGCGATAGATCTTGTAAATGCCAAAAAAGTGCAGCACAGCACAGCACGTTGTCATATCAAAATTTAAGCAAAATATTTGTGATGCTTAGATGTACCCAATTACCGTTTTGTGGCCGCTCCAGCAGCCGTTCGGCGCAAGGACGACATCGTCTTTAGACTACCTACCACCCATTTTGACCTTGTATATTGCCGGAAAGATGTAAGATACCGGTTTAGATACCGCACCAAAATGTTTGCCATCGCGACAAATCAGAAATTCGAGTACTCTGTACCTTAACGGGACCACACAGGACGCAGCGCACGCGCCTTTTATGCAGGGTCGCCATGTGACGTTGGGACGTCTATGTAAAAATACTCAGTGGAATGTGAATGCAAGACATGACTATATGCGAATCACATACATTGTTTTTATAGTTCTCTTATATCGATCTTACATCTACTACATCACAACTGTCAAAATTTTATATTACCTTCCTTTTTAAACCACGGTACGATAGGTGTCGCACAGTCCGTGAGCGCTCCACTGGTGAGAGGATGCCCGTCGCCCGCTGAATCTGGGGCCAGGGCGCGTTCACACTGGCTCCACTGTAAAGCCAGCGCGGAGTGGGCGAGCGCGCTGAACACGGTTCGTGCCCCTTGCGGACGTGAAATGCTCACAGTGCCTCCCGTGAATCGGCCAAACATCAGCGAACGCCTTACAGTATCTGGAACTGCGGGTCAGAACATACAATATAAATTATCTTAATATTTAACACATTAGTACACTCGTAGCGTACTCACTGCAATTGGATTTTTAATTCCGCCATCCATTGTCGCCTCAAAATAATAGTTTGTCCCATTTCAATACCACAATTCTAATTCACATTCATCTTTTTCATTATTTTACAAGACGGCCGTATTACTCCCAGAGGTGGGATCGACTCGCCCGGTAATATCTAAGCGCTTAATGGACACGGTCACCCTTAAAATTAACAGTTTATGTAAAACCAGTCCCAACTTATACATGACACAGCGCTGCCCGTGTCGCACTCCATTTCCATGTCTTTACCATTTACACACACACACACATAGTTACACGAGCAGCGGATAACTTGCAAACATCAACAAATAGACTAATCGCTTTCAGACCGCTATCGCTCGAGTTACTGGTTCCTCTATATGCGCATTCGAGTTATGATACGCGAATAGGTTGGGGCACAATACGACGCACATGTCCCTGCCGGTGCATACTCGGCAAAACATAACGCGAAAATTTGCACTTGTTTGCGTCGTATCGCGCGCCACATGCCTGGCACTGCTTGCTGAGCCCGATCAACCAGCGTCGTGGGAAGCGGGGGGGGTGGGGGGGGGGACGCTGTCTGGTACGCGTCGCATGCGTGCATCTCTGGCGGCCGTTATGCGCAGGCGACCTTCCAACGTAGCTATCATTTGCGTCGCCACCATCGCGTGACAAGCACCGACGTCTTCGCGTCGCATGGATCGCACCCCTCCGCGTCCCTACTACGCAGCCGCGTCCTTTTACCGTGCCTCCCAGCTGACGGCTAAATCTATATGCTTTTACCGAAATAAAATTTATTTTCGAGCGAACAAACGTCTGTCGAATACCTTCGTTAAACTATTGCCACAGACATAACTGAATCCCTCAGACTATCCTCTAACACTCCCCCAAATTCGCACGTTTTAAACATTTTCTTTAGAACCGCTATGTACTCGATATAGTTTCCACCATGTTTGTTTCTAAGTCGAAACTTATACAGCTCGGATAACACACTTGGCTTTGGTTGAAAATCTCTTATCTAAATGTCCGTTATTGTAAAAATGATTTTTTTTTCAGTTTGTCAGGTGTAAACAAATTCACTAAAAAAGTGTACACTCCGAGCCCATTACAGTTATTAATTTCGGCACTTGTAATTCTTCCAGAATCTTGTTTACGCAAGAAAATATTGCTCTAACACGTGTCGAAAGTATAAATCGCCAGTCATCACTGTGCACTTTGAACTCCGTGATATTATCCGATCGACATTGTTATTATTATTATTTTTTATTTTAATACCATTAGGTTCAATATCGTACGTAGAATTCGATGTCCTCGTCCGCACACTGAGGAATTATCGGAAGCAGGTCCTGGATGCCGGGACCTCGAACCTAAACGACAACTTGGTAGCCTACGATACAACCGAATATTTATAAATATGCCAAAATTATATATACACGCGTGATTTTTTAGGCGTTTTGGAAACGAAACATTTTAATTTGGAAATCATTCTATAGTACCAATAAAAATGATTAAATCAATTGTAATGTTGTCTAAAAAAAAGCAGTTCAGTTTTAATATCATTTTTATCGATTCGACTTGGAAAGTAGAATGACTATCATCAGTCATTATTATATGAAATGAAAACACGTCCGTGGGCGTTTGGCCGCCGCTGCGCACTCGCTAACGCTAACAGCAGTGATAAAAGTTATTAACATATAGGCGCGAGGCTAGCGAGAGTACTTACGTAGATAGACTCAATTTGTCCTTCATACTTACACGGGCTTAGGATCGTCGGAAATACCTATTTTATTAGATTTCTTTTCGATTATTAACACGAATGTTCTTTTCACAACAAATCAATTTATCAACGGACTGTAGGTCTATAAATAATCAAGGTATTTAAAAAATCGGAGGCTATCTACAGAATAATTAAATTACATAACTATTTACACTATTTACACTTCTCTGTACGAAGCAACTGCTCAAAAATGGAGTCCGCTGCATTCAATACACAACACGTCACGTTTAAGCAATTGTTTATTTAATTTTTTAATGTGCTCTATCACTTTTCACTTTAAAAGTGTATAAAAATATTTTCATTTCCGACCATAAGAAAAAATCCAGGGGCGTTTAAGTCCGGGGCTTCTAGGTGGGCCAAGGCACTGCCCCTCCTCGAACTATCCACCGATCACTAAATCTGTCAGGTATGCACGCACTAAAGCTCCGGCGAATAATATTTAAAACGTCTTGACCTTGCGCGTGAGGTATAGTATTTCATTCGTAGTATTTACCTACTTGCGATTGAAAAGCCCTACTACTGGTTCTCACCTTTTCCCTCTGTATCGATATGATATCGACTTTGATGATAAAAAAATATATATTTATAAATTAAGTATATATAGCTTCTGTATATGATGGAATAACTCAAATTTTCTTTCCAAAAACGCTTTCAAAATCACCGTGTATATTACACAAATAATACAATTAACCCACTATAGAACAACTTACTAGCGACCCGGGGCGCCTCTGCTTTGAGCGCGGCGCACCGCTGTAACCAAGAATGCGCTTTAGACGCAGCGCCACGCCCAACGGCCGAGGATATTTAGTCGCGCCACGAACGCCCAGCGCTTGTAACTCGCCTTCGCCCGTCTCAACCACCGCCCGCTCCGTACGCGTTGCCGTGTCGCGAATAATGATAATTCTTATTGTGTAAATTGTTTTCGATAACATTGTGCTATCGTTTCTATTTTGCTCCTTCTATCTTTGTGGTACTTTTTTAACTGACCTCTTTGGGTGTATGTGTGTTCTATGTATCAAATTAATTTCGTTTTCTACCTCCGAAACGAACTTTTATTTTTCTTTTCTCACATACCTGTGCCGTACGTACTATATGGGGACCCCGCTAAGAACATGACTGATAGCAGTGATCCGCGAACACCGAACGTACGTGGAGGAGAACATCACAAGCGGATCAAGAAAACCAAGCGACCAGCCCCAGGTCGACCTCCTCGGTCGGGGCCTGCGGAGACAAAGCCAAAAGAAGTGGATAATGGCCGCCTCCTCTGAGGTCTCCGTCGAGCTTAGGCGACAGCCCACCGCGGGACGCGGGGAAGGGCGCCGCGCCGTGTGACCCCCTACTGGAGTCCTGGGACCGGGAGAGCTCGAAATCGGGATGTTCAAATGATCCGAGAGCGTCTCACCTCTTCCAGGACACACAGTTCTTACCGCACGTGCGGCGACTTCAGGCGGTAACGAACGAAAGGTCCACTATCGACCCCCCCTGCTGTCGCACGCACGGTGTTGCGTGGAGCCTCTTGTTTCAGCAAACAGAGGCGCCACCGACGCCGCCCACTCCCCGACGGATTCGCCCCTGGCATCCGTCGCAGGGGAACCCCACGCAATGGACTTTGCGTTTGAAGTCCCCCGGCACGAGGACGTGCCCAGAACACTATAGTCGCCGAATGAGGCCTCCAAGTTCGTTAAGGAAGACCTCGAAGTCGTTGCAAAACTCACGGTGGGGGGAGAAATATACACTATAAATGGTGATTCCCCCAATCGCGGCAACATATCAAGTACCCTTGTCTCTCAAGCGGACAAGGGCGGGAATTGAGCCGATCGTGGAGCCGACGACCGGCCACGGAGCCGTCACCGGTCACCTATCCAGGTTTGGGACGGGGAGGGACAAAATAGGGCTCCGCGACTACGGCAACACCTATCGACCACTGTGCCATGGTTTGCAGGAAGAGACCCTGCGCCGCAGCACAGTGTTCAGATTCGTCTGGACCAGGAGGTTGGATACTTGATCCATTACTGGATCGTCTCTACAACCTCCTCAGCAGCCCCCCTGCCCCATCATGTGATTGGCGGGCTTTTTAGCCGCCCGCACACACGGGGCAGTGAGGGGCGGCAGAGCACTCTGCCGCCTTGTGCCCGGGTTGACCGCAGCGGGAAGCATAAACCGCTGCAGTCAAAACAGCCCTCGCACTTGGTGCGAGTGTGTCCCGCGGCTAGGCACTTGAAGCACCCCCATCGGCCTCGCGGCCAGAACCGTGATTCTGGCATTCACGAAGCCGACGAGCATGCTTCCGGCGTCGCCCAACGCTTTAGCCGACGCCACGGGACAGCTGACCCACACCGCACCGAGGCCTCCCGGACCCGGACGGACGGTGTGCCGACTCCTGATGGTGTCCGCGGTGCACCCAGTCTTCTCGATGACTGCCTGCATCGCGGACATCCTCCGACGTGATGGAGTTCGTCCAGGCCCGAGATGCGCAGTTCTGCGCATTTGGTGGGCCTGGCGATCTTCACACCGTCCGTGGTGGCGAAATTCCCCGCAGCTTCTCGGCGAATTTGTCGGTCGTCACCGCGCCTTCAGCCCCAGGGAACTCGAAAACCCGAGCTCCCGTCTGGGCGCGGCGCAACCTCATCCCTGCCGTCCCGAACTCAGTGGCGAGACCGGGACGGGCCCCCTTGAAGTGGGCCGCGTACGTGAACCCGCCACTGGCCGCCTCCGGCGACAACGTGACGGACTACAGCCGCGGTTTTCGGCGCTGCAGCTTCCGCGGCCTCTTTTTAGAGGCCGTTGCCACCGGTGGCGAAGGCTGGGCTTGGGCTGCTTTCTGAACAGCCCTTCTAGCCCGCCTTCGGGACTTCTTTGAGCCTTCTTGTTGGAGGGGGCAGGTGCGGAGGGGCCCGGCAGAGATGTCGGAGTGGGGAGCGGAGGGAAAGCCACTCCGCTCCTCTTCGCCGCTTTAGTCTTGGCCGGCACATTGGCCGGTGCCTGGGCCGGCGCCTTGACTGGCGCCTGGGCCGGTGCCTTGGCCCCTCTCCATCGGCCCCTGGGGAGCCGAGTCGGGGCCGGACGCCGACGCCGCCCCTCCCACAACAGGGAGCGCAGTCGGAAGCAGCAGCCTTAGGCCGCTGCGACGACGCGAGCGGGGGGCGCAACGACCGGCGCAGGGGGCAGTCTCGCCTCCAGACCGGCCAGACGGCCGTCCAGCATACGCCCAACTGCGTCAAGAATTGACCGCAGTTGGGCGTCAGGTACCCCTGAGGTCGCGTTACTGACAGGCTGGGGCGTGGACGCGACCCCCCGCTCGGGGAGGTTCGCCCGGAAGCGGGCGAACTGAGCGCTCAACTCGTTCACCCGCTCGTCAGCCTGTCATTGGCCATCTGTAGGCGAGACACATCGCCTACTAGGCCCTCCACGACCTCCGACATAGCGGAGGAGGAGTCCTTAAGGGCCCTCACAAAAGAGCCCTTAAGGTTAACCGACTTGGTGGCTACCTTCTGAATAATGGCCACCGCCGCTCTCGCCCTCTCCTGCACAGACACAGGCGCCAGGGGGGGCATCTCCCTCCACCGGCTCCTGGAATCTTGAGTAGGAGACCCCGCGATCTCCTCCTCCGCTACGGCCTCGCCGTCCGCTCGTACCCGTCTATAGGAATCCGCCTTTGAGAAGGCGGACCCTGACGGGACGGGGACAGGGGTACGCGACCTCCCTATGCGGCCGCCCTTAGGAGGCCCAGACTCCACGGAGGGGTTATCTTCCCCATCCCGCGAGAGTTCGCGTTTCCGGCTCTCGCTCGGACCCGCCTCCACCTCCATGCTCTCGCTGGAGCCGCCACTCTCGCCAGACGTGGCAGATTTGGAGCGCAAACGCTCCGATCTTCGGCTCCCAGCAGTCAGTCTACTACAGACTACTACTGGGAGCCCCACCGAGATAGGTGTTCTCGACACCACCTCACCCTCAGTGGACGCCAGATCCACTCCACCACTCCTCCTCTTCGATTCGTCCTTCTCCTTGCATCCCACCGTTTCCTGTGCCATTTTGCTCGCCTTTGTCGTTGTTATTTTCGATCCTTTGTTTTTAATTTTATCTTCCATAATTGAACCCACGAGTGGGGGAGAACTAAAGGTCCACCCGGGCAGAGATCCCCCAATCCCGGGTATTGGGGGATCTCAACTGGGGGACCTCAAGCGTAAATTTATGCCCAACCGAGGGGTCCGCAAGTGCCCCGGCTGGGAGTGCGCTTACGACTGAACTACCCATCAGCCATGCATCCCCTGGCCACGCACCAGAACACGGGATTCGGGAAATTTTTTAGAGAGGTTTTCTTCCTCGCGGTCCGGGCGGTTAAGCCAAGACCCTCGTCTCCGATCAGAGCCGCGAGACTTGACATCAGCGACCGGCTGATGTAACCGATGCGCGATAGGTCAGCATTGATTTTGTTGAATGCCCCCGATAACAAGGTAAGCGGGGCTTGTGTATATATTTGTAAATCGTCTGCATAAAGGTGATAGAACGAACTTAACTGATTAGAGGTGGAGTTTATAAAAACAGCGAAGAGTAAAGGAGATAAAACGCCACCCTGTGGTACACCAGCAGAAATACTGCACCAGGAAGACACCGAGTCTTCAATGCAAATACGTTGCCGGCGACCAGACAGGTAACTATGAAACCAATCAATTGTTCTTGGAGATAATAATAATAATAATAATAACGCTTTATTGGAAACTAGAACAAAGGAAACAGTAACATTTTATGCGAAAGTGTCTGCATTAGTTAAAAGAACTGTGTCGCAGACATTAACCACGCCACCTCCAGCCTGGGGCCGTCAGAGTTCCATTAATAACAGTATAAAATAAGTTAACAAAATAAAACTAAACCAAATCATATCATAAATTGTTAGTAAGGCTGTGTGTGTATATATATATATATACACACACAGCCTTATACACAACATATATATATACACACACACATATATATATATATATATATAATATATATGTGTGTGTGTGTGTGTGTGTGTGTGTGTGTGTGTGTGTGTGTGTGTGGTGTGTTGGAGGAAATTTCTATTTGCAATTATGTGGTTTAGCCATAAGTTCAAGTTCTTCATAGTTCAGGGTGTGCAGCCATTGATTTGTAACTAACTTGCAAGTCCTAAGCGTAACTGGATTGACATTCAGTATTCTATTTACTCGGTTGTATATAACAGGGCTAATAAAATGATATTGACGCTTAAGGATCTCAAACCTGGCCATCTCAATATGGCACACCCTATCCGAACTCCGTATCCGTGAAATAGATACCGCGTCAAATGGCAATTCTGCATGCTTGCGCAGTATGGTGCTCAGCAAGAATGAGAGTCTGACTGTAGGGAGTTTACATAGGTCATAGAGCTCCTTGGTTGGGAAACGAATAGGCTTACGTGTCATAACTTTCAGCACAGCCCGCTGCGACCGTTCCAATGGCAGCATTAAGGATTTTACTGAGCCACCCCATGCAGTAACACAGTAGGCCAACATAGAGTGAGCGAGAGCAAAATAAACCATTTTCAGTGTTTGTAGGTTGGCAGCCGTTCTTAAATGTTTGAATACAAATATTAATTTACGAACTCTTGGCACCAATGATCTAATTTGCTCCTTCCAGGTCAACATACTATCCACGTACACCCCAAGGTATTTGATAAAATCTGTGCGTTTAATAGCAATACAATTACAGTTTTGAGTAGTAGAACACAGGTGGGTACTTAGGGAAAAAGAAGAGGGCGGCTGAGATGCAATTCTTGGAGAAAAAGTGATGAATTTCGTTTTTTTCTAAGTTGAGTGTAAGAAGGTTATTGGCTAGCCAATTCATAATGGTTTGCAGAGCAGATACAGCAAAAGAACGTGCATCATCCCAGCTTTATTTGCATCGTCACATTCAAAAACACGAGAAAAGTCCGTCTGTTCAAGAGCTAGCACGCAAGCTTTTTCATCAATGCGAAGTTTTTGTGTGGCGACCTTAGAGCTGGGAAGGTGACAATCGCAAGAAATAATTACAGGGGCATGGTCTGTAATAAAAGAGTCCAGCACCAAGGTGACAGCAGACTTGTTAGATTTGATGGCCGAGTGATCAATACATCTCTGTTCACGAGTGGGAAAGAGATGGCCAGGTAGCATGCCATGTGACGCAAGTGTGTCAAGATAGAAGTCAGAGTGTTTGTCACTATTTATTGGTGATATATCTATATTTATGTCACCAATTAGCACTATAGTCTTAAAAGTCTTTAGAGAGTTAAGAGTAATATCTAAGCTATAAATGAAGTTTTGTGGGTTAACGTGAGATGGTGAACGATAAATAGCTACAAGTGCGGTGTCCTCTCGTAGTTTTACTATGAGACAATTCGCGTCAGCAACTCCTGGATACTCGACAATAAAAGGAACATCTGATTTAATATACACAACAACTCCCTCATTTTGGTTGTGAAAATCAGATTGAAATGACTCATAACCAGGTATAGTAGGAAGGTGGGGACATTTGGACAACCAGCACTCTGACAAAATAATTATATGCAATTGAACCTTTATCCTATTTAATAGAATTAGAAGATTATTGAAGTTGCAACTGTTACCGACACTACGAATATTGACATGAAAAATATTGAAACCGTCAATTGTACGTTCCAAGTATGCATCACATTGTTCGGGTGAACAATTATAGGAATCTGAAACCGATAATCGTTCAATATCACTTGCAATTATAGAATTATCATCCATTTTGGTAAACAAAGTCAAACAATTTACCTATATACAGGATTACTAGGCACAGACCATGATCTAAGGTTAGTGCAGGTCTTAATAACATTTTATGGGTAAGTAGTATAAGAGTAGAATATTTCCATGGTGTGTATTGTTATGTGTGAGAGGGTGAGACTAAGTGTTGTCCTGTTGTATTGTATGAGAATTTCGAGTAATGTAATGTGAATTTTAAAGTTAGTGTGTACATCGGTCGTATAATAATGAACGATAGATAAGCAATGGAACACATATAACAATATCCTAGTCACTTTTTGGGCAAGTCAGACTCAGACTTAATCATAATGTGCGGAGCTCCTTGTTTTTCACGTAGATATATTTTGCCATTCGTAACCCAGCAGTACCGGTATTGATTACTACTTGCAAAGTCTCTGGCAAGGAAGAATAGCCTTTTCATTTTTGGTGTTAGATTTTCTGATACAAACACTGGTTTAGCCGGCCCACCAAGTCTCAGGTGCTCGGTAGACAGTTTGTTTTCCTTATTAAATTTCCTTTGCATATAAATAAATTTCTCTTTAAGTAGATTCGTGGTAAATTCCACTATTATAGGCCTGCTATCAACATCCTTTGAGCGAGTGCGGAAGATATCCCTCACGTCATGAACCTGCACCGGTACATTTATGAGGGAACCAATCCTGGTAACCATTGCAGCAAGAGATTCCTTGGACTCCTGAGGTTTAACTGGTATATTTCTTATTTCCACACATGTAGACCTAGCTCCCCGCTCCATTTTTTCAAGATTGTCTTCCAATTTTTGTAGATGCAACAAATTAGTTTCTCTTTCTGTCACAAGTTGTGTCTCCAATTGATTGATTCTATCCTGTAGCGCATCGTAATTCTGTGACAAGAAAGTGACCGTAGATTGAATAGTCACGTTTTGGGCTTTAATCTCCTCAATTGATGTGTAAATCTTCTCAATTTTTTTATCCTGCTGTTCCTTAAATTCAAGAAACATGGTTTTCATCTCAGACATAAAAACTGATATTTGGTTGTCGTGTTGGGTATCCAAATCCAAATCCAAACACTTACGTTTATTACGTTGAGTAATGTTAGGAATGTCACATTCCGGACGCTTCTCGCGATCCTCGCTTGCAATATTCGGCACGGATGAACTATGTTGCAACGGGGCTAACACCGGCGTAGTGAGCGATAACTTAGTTGTAGCCGTAAGAGGAGGCGATCTATTTATCGGCATATTGCAAGACGAAGTACCAGGGCGCCTCAGTTGCAGGGAAGAAACAACAAACGTTTATTGTGTGAGGGGTCAACAAAACTGGTCACGTATCGACAGGTTGGTACAAAATTGCTTTCCGTCCACTCAAACGAGACCCCTTGAGCAAAACAAAACAAAAAACGGTGCGCTATTGTATTTACACCAATTATGCTTCATTAAGGTGCGTAGAGGACAGCAAGCAAAAGAGTGCACTGATGGTGGACGACTATTTACACAGGCACAAGTTTCTAATGAGGCGAAGAAAAAAGAACTCACTCTTGTGTGTAGGTTCCGAAATGATTTACTTGCGTTGAACTCCACGGATGCACTGTGCGCCTATTATATGCAATCGATTTTATAACACATTTCAATTAATAAACTTAAAATACAGTAATAAAGACACAACAAAGATACACGTCTGATCGCCACAGAGATCCGGAGGGAAGGGGAAAGATACGTTAAGAGACCGCAGTATACCAAGCACAATGTGAAAATCTACAGTATTAAAAGCGTTGCTAAAATCAAGTAAGGCGAGTACTGTAATCATTTCACTATCCATGCCTAGTCTGATACTATCGGTAATGTGAACTAATGCAGAAGTTGTGCTGTGACCAGGACGAAAGCCGGATTGGAAGGGGTTCAGTAAAGAATTTTTGGAAAGGAAGCTACTCAGTTGAGAGTGGATGAGACGCTCCAGCTCATCAAGCACTTTGGACAAGAAAGGTAAAATAGAAATAGGCCTAAGGTCAGAAAAGGAAGAGGGTTTAACTTTTTTAGGTAGAGGGATTAGTTGAGCATCTTTCCATGCAGATGGAAAAACACCGCTTGTCACGGAGTGATTCAGGATATTGCATAGGATGGATAGGATTTCGTCTAGGATAGGAAGAATCATGTTTCGGCTAACACAGTCACACCCTACTGCATTTGATGAAATCGCTAGAATGGTTTTCTTAACGTCACAAGCGGACAACTGATCAAAGACGAAAGGTGGATAGTCGGGAGCTTGGGTAGAAGAAATATATCTAAGAGTATTAGCTTTAATGTTGTCATTAATTTCAGACGAGATAGATAAATGTTTATTAAGTAAATCAATGTTTATGTGTTATATAATAAATTATTCTCAAAGAATAATGCGCAATATTTCAGTTCCGTCCGTGACACTACCGCTCACATACGTACTTCTTGTTCTGTCATCTTTTAAATTGCAAATCAGTCTTTAAAGTGTGTAAAGCTCCTTAAAATTAATACAGACACCTACCTCAACAAAAAAGTGACAAATGTGTGGAATACCATGGTGAAATAACTACTGAAATATTATAAATATGCAGTTTCTGTGAATGTAACTTAGGTACTAGTAAATTTTAAAACTTTTGCATAAATCGGACCTTGACCTTATTAGTGATACAAATACTTGCGATAACTTATAACAACACACTGAGTTCATCATCAAGCTATGATCAAAAACTTAACGTTATCGTGGCCCATGTGCTACATGTATCACTCCGATCGTTAAACTGATGTGATCGTGGGTTCAAACCTCAGTGGGTCAAGTTAGTGAAAATTGTTTTTTGCAATTTTTTGGAGTAATTTTTGAATAGGTTTGTTACTTATACATTATTTAACATACAGAAGAAAAAACAAGAAAACAACGTTTAGAAAACTTGTTTACAAAATGATTGTGCAAAGGACTCCGCCACCATCTTCAACAAAACCAACACAAGCGCACAGACAATTCCAGTGTGATACCGACTTCGCGCCAACGGAGGCTCCTATTTCCACCATCGGCGATACGAATATTTCTGTGCGCAGTAAGAGACAACGTGTTGACGACTCTCCACTCAATGTGAGTTCATACGTATGTGCAGCGTGCACAGACCTCAAAAAAGAGCTCCTGGATATGCTCACAAATTGGAAATCCGAACAAGACGTGAGACTCACATCGTAGAAAGCTGATCAAGACGTTATATTAACGAAACTTATCAACGACGTTTCAGACCTAAAAAACCAATACCTCTCAATCAAAGCCTCAAACAAAGAAATTGAAAAAAGTGTAACTTTCATCAATGAAAAATATGAAGAAATCAGAGGTACGATGACAAATCTAGAAGAAGATGAAAAGAATAGCAGAGAAAACATTGTCAGCCTAGAAAATCAAATGAGACATACACTTCCAGGCCCGTCAGGCCACAATCGAGATTTGGAACGTACCAATCAAAGAGAGAGAAAAGCCCGAAGACCTCATTTCTGTTTTAGCAGACATCGGGAAGGCTGTTAATATGGATACACAACCAGCAGCACTCCGGGACATATATCGGATTCCTGGAAAACCGGGTGTACGTAAGCCCATTGTTGCCGAATTCGCCAGTGTTAATTACAGAAACAATTTCTTAGCTAATGTGAGGAAATTTAACAAAGAACACACTTTGGAAAACAAGTTAAACACTCAGTTGATTGGAATACCGGTAGATAAAAAACCGGTGTACGTAGACGAGCACCTTCCACCGTCATTTAAAAAGCTTTTATATGAAGCCCGCACATTCGCTACAGTTCACAACTATTCTAGCTGGTATTCCAACGGCAAAATCGTGCTGCGTAAATCCCCGACGGAAAAACCAAGTGACATAAAAACAGCTAAGTGTCTCGCTGTGTTGTCGAAAGGTCAATGACTACACAATTATCTAGTTATTTTTCAATCAGCATGCATAATGATTTTTTTAACAAGTCAGCTTTGTTTATTTTATTTTATTTCATATTTCTTTATTAAGTCAGTTATTCATCATTCTTATGTTGTTATTTTTATTATGGAGTCAATTATTTGTAATTCTAATTTTGATGATGTAGAATTTTGTTTATCATTGTATGAACACACATTTACCACTCAGATTACATAAACATATTTATCAAAACACATTATTGTACTCCTACATAGGCTACGAAATCACCAATGGCTACTCTTCCCTCGCAACACGTACTCCTTTGGATACATACAAGTACATACACGTACATTCAAATCACGCTTTGCTTTAAACCCAGTGCTCATATTATTAAGCTTTCATCTATATCTAAGACTTATCCTGAGTCATCTTTCACTTGCACCTTATATAACCACAAATGCTTAGCGATATAAATCTACTAAATAGCCAACTAGATAATCTTTCTATATCTAAATCATATTATTGTAAACCTGAAGATTGTAATAAATAAATTAAAAACCCGGGTGACTACCTGAATATAATCTCGCAAAATATTAGATCAATTAATCATAATTTCCATAACTTTGAAACACTCCTTACCCGTCTTCCCATGGAATGCGATATTATTGTTCTCGCCGAATGCTGGCTCCCCTGTCTTAGTAATGCTAGCTTGCCCCAGGTCCGTAACTACTCCATAAGCCATATCAATAGCTACCGTAATTAGAGTGACGGCGTGGTTGTATATATATCCATCAAATTAGCTTATAAAACCCGCGAGCCTGATTTTCAGGGTCTGCTTCTGGATTAATTATAGAACTGGACACGGATGTCGCTATACTTTGTATATATAGATCTCCCTCTAACGATTGTATTCAAATTTTCCTGAACTCGCTAAACGAATTATTATGTTCCTTAAATAGATTCAAAACAGTTGTTATAACCGGCGACATAAATACTAACATCAATGCAGATCAAAACAACCACATGGACTATCGAACCCATGATTACCTGAATTCTCTCGCTTACCACGGATTTCTGCCAACTCATACCCTACCAACCTACCTGGGGCTCTACCTGTCTTGACCATACTATACTGAGAACCATCTTCTATTTTTGTTCTTGAGTCTACGGTAACTGACCTCTTTGCGACCCTCCTCTCTCTACACCTAAAGCCACAGTGCAATCATCCAGTCACTTCCATAATAAAAACAAACTACGTCTCTCAACAAATCAATGGAAAGACTTGACCCTCTCACATACTCGCTATGTCAGAACCCAACTCCGCAACAAACTGTCTTGTTCAAGCACTCTCCCAGACAATTAAGCAAAATACATCGACAAAGCATATCTCAAAACATAAAAGAATCTTAAAGCCCTGAATTACCCCAGGGATACTAAGATGCATGAGAAATAGAGACAAAATGCACAAAAAGTGTAGGCAGTCGCCGGATAACACAGTATTGCTAACTACCTATACAAGATATAGAAATTATTGTAACAAAATCTTGAAAAAAGTGAGACGACAATTTAATTCGGATGAGTTAGCCAAAGCTGGTACCACTAATTAAATATGGGATACTGTAAAACGCGTGATACATAGTACAAAAACTACACGAACACCAACACCAACAAGCTATTCAATTCTACCAAAACCTACTCTCCATCTGTTAACGAGGTTAATGAATTTTTTGTAAACATCGGAAAGGATCTTGCTGATCATATAAAAACTATACAACCCAATACCTTCAGTAGCCCACCAATGACCTCAAGGATTGGATGTCGAAACTCATTTGTTCTTTTAGATACGGACCCTGACGAAGTAGCCTCTACTATAATGTCACCGTGTAAAATCGAATACCGCAGTAGGTCATGATGGCATTTCTACAATTTTTTTGAAGAGATATTCTGTAATCCTAACACCCATACTATGCCATATTATCAATCTGTGCTTTGCCTCCGGCACTTTCCCATCTTCGTTTAAAAAGGCAATCATTCATCTAATTTTGGCGACCGTACTACTGTCAATAACTACCGCCCAATTGCCATTCTAACAGCACTCTCCAAGGTCATGGAACGTCTAATGAATAAAAGGCTTATTAATTATCTGAAGTCTAATGCGTTACTGTCCCAGAATCAATTCGGCTTAGGAAAATGAAATCAACTTCCTCTGCAGCTTTAGAACTTGTAAATGGAATAGTTGAAAGACTTAACCAACATAAGAAAGTCCTTACAGTGTTCCTTGATCTTGCAAAAGCGTTTGATACGGTCCCTCTCGCTTGCCTTATTTCCAAACTTGAAAACGTGGGTGTTAGAGATACACAGCTTCAACTGCCGTTTATGACGATGGGGTCTTCGGACGCATTTGTTAAGCCTTTGGTTTTGCAGGCGTTCATCGTTAGGCCTACCTTGCGGCTTTCTCTTTCCAGGTCTATGAGCATGTTTTGTAGGTGTTCCTTGGTTTCGGCGAATAATATAATGTCATCAGCGAACCGTAAGTGAGATAGTCTTACCCCGTTTATGTTTAGCCCATAATGATCCCAGTTTAATTTACGGAAGATTCCTTCTAAGACAGCTGTGAATAATTTAGGCGATAACGGGTCCCCTTGTCTTACACCTCTATTTATTTTTATTTCCTTCCCTTCTTTTTCTAGCTTGATTCTAGCTGTACTATTAGTATATACGTTTTTTATTATTCTGATGTTCTTTTGTTCCACTCCTTGATTCTTTAAACAATACCAGATATATTCGTGTTCAATTGAGTCAAATGCCTTGTTGTAGTCGATGAAACAACAATAGAATGACACATTAAACTCCTTGTGTTTTTCGATAATTTGTCTCACAGTATGTATGTGGTCTAATGTCGAATAACCTGCTCTAAAGCCGGCTTGTTCTCTAGGCTGGTTTTCGTCTAGAGTTCTTGTTGGGGCTGTTATTATATTTTTCCCAACATTTAATGTTGAAGTTTGTTTATAGTTGAAGTTAGGTAAAAAAATACCAATGTTGCAGTTATGAGCGTTTATTAAACACTAAAATTCACTGTATAAATTAAAACCTTATAAACCACAATTTCGCTGACTTAGCTAAGTACGAGTTCGTACATGCTCCCGACTTAAGATAAGGAAATGGGCAAACATTTTGTAGAACATCAACTGAAATAAACTGTATAAATTATGTACAATATAAAAAAATGAACAAATGGTATATCTAATGCTAATTTCTGCGACTCGTGAAAGGTGAGCTCTCCCTATCCACTGAAGCATGTTCCTGAGCAGAGCTCCTTCCAGCTGTACGTTCCTTGAGATCCGCCGTTGATCCTGGGTTACCTTTGGGTTCCACACTACTCTGGCGATTACTTATGAAGCGTACCTTGAACTTCAGAATACAGCAAGCTCCCAGAATAGTACCACCTAGTGCTAAAATAGCATACACGGCGTAATGATGTTTATCATGTGTTTCAGCCCGTTCTTTCAAAGCTTCCTGTTGATTTTTGACCACCTCTAGCTTCTCCTTCAGGTAGCTTAACTGCTGCAAGTGGTTCTCGGGCTCGAAAGTAAAAACGCTAGTGTTGATGATCTGATTGATCCCTGACTCTGGTATATACTGTGTATCTCGGTTGATATTTACGGTATTCTGAAGGTTCCTGTGGGCGTGAATGAATATCTCATCTCCCTTCAGAATGCAACCTTCCGATAATGTTATGATTCCAGTATTGCGTAATGTTTGTGAAGTTATTCCAGTCGGGCAAAATACGTGCACTAGGCGCTCCTCACAACACGAGAATAGCCACGCGTCGCGGCTTGTTAACTTGATCCATTCGTCATAACAATCGGTAGACACCGTTTTGCAACTTGATACCCCTTTGTTGTTTATAATTTGCGCCTCGCACCTTGACGAGGTATCTTTAATATTATAAGTGGGTGAGGTCAGGACACAAATTAATTGATATTTGTTTATGTGTTCGCATGACGTCAGATCGTTGTATGATAATGGCAATAATATATCCCTTTTGAGATTAACTGCCAAATAACTTGAAGACGGCACTATCCTTGTGGCAGATTGGTTTCGTTTTTGAGGTATGGGCAAGATTCGGTTTAGTTCGTATTGTTCGTTGGATATTAGCGGTAATTTAACTTCAAATATCAATAAATCTTCAATAAACCTCATGTGAACATGTGACAACTTGTACATTTGTTGAATACAGCTATGGTCGCTGAGACACGGTACTGAGAGATCGTTTGGTATCTGCCGTGAA